TTTTGACAACATGGTACCAAAAAATCTGTAACAGGACTACCTGGTTTGAGAAATATGCGAGCACTTTGAAGTAAGTCACATCCATATCTTCTCTATTTTTGCAACACACTTGCTCTATTATGGAGTTTTAGTGCGGTGCTATAGGACAATGCAGTGGACACAAGGTCTGTTTGAAGTGCATGGTCAAACTTGCCAGTCTCTTTTCAGAAACTCTGGACAGATTTGCCATGAGTCAGAACCAACTCACAGGCACTAGACAATCATTACAACAGGAACAACCTCTAACATGAGACTTGTTGTTGTGCTGTAAGATAAACACTGCACTGCTACCACAAGGTGAGTGGTTCAAACCCACCAGCTGCTCCTTGGAAACCCAATACTAGATTGGTATGAGTTACAACTGACTGGATGACACCTAACAACAAGAAGAACTGGTAATAATTACTTGCAGAAAATGGAATAAACACATCCAAATTAGGAACTTATCCATTCATGCAAAATCCATAACATTGCTGCTCATTATGTTAAATGAACCACTTACTTTTTCATTATTTTCCTTTTATGATCTCAAGCAACAAGATATATTTATCACTTAAAAATTCAACATTATTCACAAAAACTAAATACAATTTTTGCATAATGTTGTTAAGTGCCATCCAGTCAGTTCTGACTCATCTCAAACCTGTATAAACTTTGTGGTTAGCAGCCAATTTTTTATCATAAAGTGCCACACCAGTGTGTAATAAATGATTACCCAATGGTAATTAGAATTTCTAGGATAAGGTATAAGTATTTGAACTACCAATAGAATAGTCACCTCATAAAATAGTTTTCTCTTTACAGATCATTTATTTCTAACCTGTACTTTCCCCACATCTACCGAAAGAATGCAGCAAAATAAGACTGAGTTCATTCTCCTAGGATTGACACAAGATCCTCTGAGGCAGAAAATGGTGTTTATAATTTTCTTTATTTTCTACACTGGAACACTGGTGGGAAACTTGCTCATTATTTTGACCATCAAGTTGAGTCGGACACTTGGGAGTCCCATGTACTTCTTCCTATTTTATTTGTCCATTGCTGATACCTGCTTTTCAACTTCCACAACCCCCAGACTAATTGTAGGTTCTGTGTCTGCAAAGAATGTTATATCCTATAATGAGTGCATGACACAAGTCTTTGCACTGCATTTATTTGGCAGCATGGGGATCTTTGTTCTCATCCTCATGGCTGTTGATCGCTATGTGGCCATCTGTAAGCCCTTGCAGTACCCCACCATTATGAGACGGCAGGTCTGCATCATCTTGATTATTGTAGCCTGGATAGGGTCTTTTATACATTCTACAACTCAGATTCTCCTGGCTTTGAAATTGCCATTCTGTGGACCAAATTTGATTGATCATTACTGTTGTGATTTGCAGCCCTTGTTAAAACTTGCCTGCATGGACACTTATGTCATCAACCTACTGTTGGTGTTCAATAGTGGGGCCATTTGCTCAATTAGTTTCTTGCTTCTAATGATCTCATATTTTGTTATCTTGCATTCGCTGAGAAACCAC